TGCCTCAGCGATTTTAGGAATGAAATGCTTGCAGCATGTGCCGTTTGCCCAGTTTACTATTGAAACTGACTTTGAATCCAGGTTTTTTTCCTTGCTTTTAATAATGATAGTTTATTACCAGTTTAAATGTGGCTGATTTGTTCTTTTTATTTACTCTAAAATAATCTTTAATTTTTATATTATCAGTGTTAACAATTATGATATTTCAGCTTCATATTAAAAAGTGTCCATGAAAAAAAATCTACAGTGTTGAGAAAAGACTGCTTCGCATTAGAAATATTTTTAGTCCAGCTGCATGGTTGTAAAGAGATAATTCACCCGGAAATGAAAAAATGTTGTTAATTTAATCACCTTCAGGCTATTCACGATCCTCTTCTTTAAACACTGAAAAAAATATTCATTGGATTTACTTCAGTCAGAACTATTAGCCCCTCTGAATTATTGACACCCCTGTTTATTTTCCCCCGAATTTCTGTTTAATGAAAATAATATTTTTTTCAACACATTTCTAAACATAATATTTTTAATAACTCATTACTAATAACGTATTTCTTTTGTCTTTGCCATGATGATAGTAAATAATATTTGACTATATATTTTTCAAGACACTTCTATACAGCTTAAAGTGACATTTAAAGGCTTAACTGGGTTAATTAGGTTAACTAGGCAGGTTAGGGTAATTAGGCAAGTTATTGGAAAACAATGGTTTGTTCTGTAAACTATCAAAAAAAAAAATAGCTTAAAGGGGCTAATAATTTTGTCCTTAAAATTGTTTTTAAAAAAAATAAAAACTGCTTTTATTCTAACTGAAATTAAGCAAATAATACTTTCTGCAGAAGAAAAAAAAATCCTTGATCTGATAAACATAATTTGGGAAACATTTAAAAAAGAAATAAAAATCAAAGGGGGGCTAATAATTCTGACTTCAACTGTATATATTAAAATGTTGAAAATGAAAACCTTTTGGATGCCCTGCGAGTGAGTAAACAGAATAAACAGAACATTTTGATTTTGGGTGAACTTTACCTATAAAACACAGTGCAAATATTGTAACTTGTTATAAACCACTGTACAGTCAGCAGAATACCATAAACAAATAACGATAGGGAAATGCATAACATATGAGTGTGCATGTTACATTTTTAGACCGATTTCTCAGTAATAATACCAAACCTTGAGCAAACTGAAGGACATGAAGACCATGCATTGACAGAGAATGACACAGTCAATCTTCCCATCACCATAGTAACCTCTGCTCTACAGGGAACGGGAGGAAGACAAAGAAATGGCTGAGTTTCTAAAGTCCAAATTACCAAAAAGCTCTCAATCCAAGAGTAAGTAATTATTTAATGTTTGGCTTAATAATGTTCAGTGTTAATGCTTTGCAGAGAATATGCCTGACCTGTTTTAAATGTCTCAAATGGCTTAGCACCTGGCACATTACTTTTACATGGATTGGTAAATAATGCACTAAATAAAAACATGAAAAACTCCTCAATTTACATGTCTTACTGGTTAACTGACAAAAATAGTACATTGAAATTGCTATCAATAAAAAAACTAAATAACAATCAAAGTCAGTTAGTTAGTTAGTTAGTTAGTTAGTTAGTTAGTTAGTTAGTTAGTTAGTTAGTTAGTTAGTTAGTTAGTTAGTTAGTTAGTTTTTTATTTACAACACAACGTTGCCTTAAGTGCTGGTCACAAACTCATTCCTGGAGTGCCGCAGCTCTGCACAGTTTTGCTCCAACCCTAATCAAACACAACTGATCTAGTAGTGTCTTAGAAGTAGTAATCTTAAATATCTTGATAAGTTGGATCAGCTGTGTTTGATTAGGGTTGGAACAAAACTGTGCAGAGCTGCGGCCCTCCAGGAATTGAGTTTGTGACCTATGGTTTAGTGTATTGACGTGCAGCTTTTTGGTCCTGACGGAACCCCATGTGAGCCAACATGAGGCGACAACACAGTTGGGTTAGAATATTTAATTCATTTAGTTAATCTTCACAAACATGGCATTGGTTGCCGTGCACTATGACACAATGCACAAGAAACAATTGAACTGTTTTCAATTTGTCATTCATGCAAGGAAAAATCATTATTAATTATGATAATCTGATCATGGCTTAACGTAACAATTTCAGGTCTTGAACTCACAACTATCATGCTGATGAGTTGAATCAGGTGTGTTTTATGTAGAGACAAACTAAATGTGCACAGTTTAAAGTACTCCAGGGTCTGGATTTAGAAGCCACTGCAATAAAGCACCAATAAAACACTTTTACTGCATTTACAAATTTAGACTCTGCTGTTTTACCAGCTTCCTTGGCTGCTGGCTCTGGACTGCTCTTTATTTATCTGTCTATTGTGGACAATCTAATGTTCAGAGAATTACATAAATGGCTTTTGTCATTTATACGTCCATTTGGCAAAACACTGAGGCAAAGTAAAACAATGTCACATTTGCATTAGGCAAAGAAAATGACGGTAATATAAATATGTGGAGTAATAAGGAATTCTGTGGAGAAATTTACAGTTCAGAGTTTACAAAATAAGAAGGATAGTAAAATTCTACAGTTATAAAAAAACAAATTAAACAATAAGTTTTCACAAATATTTTAAGCTGTGATTTAAAACAATTTTTAACAATGATCAGAATTGTACTGTTTGAGTACCAGATTTTATTTCATTAATTTATTATTGAAGAATACAAAACAGCTGTTTTAAATTTAAAGATTGACACTTGATTTTACTGCTTTTTGATGAACTAATTCCAGCTCTTGGTTGAAAAATTACATAATAATAATTTTATTCTAATAGCCATATATATACACTACCTGACAAAAGTCTTGTCGTAAGTCCCAAAAGCAACAAAAAATTACTTGACTTCTAGATGATAATTTGGAAAACTGTCAGAGAGTCGATTTTTCCAATGAATAATTTCTTGATCCCAATCATCACAAATACTGCAGAAGACCTATTGGAACCCACTTGGGCCCAAGATTCTCACAGAAATCAGTCAAGTTTGGCAACATCATCAGCAACATCATCAGCCTGAGGTATTAAGACATTTGTGCTGCCCATTACATTACAAACCATAGGAGAGGGCAAATTCTTCAGCGGGACAGTGCTCTTTCTCATACTTTAGCCTACACACAAGTTCCTGAAAGCAAAGAAGGTCAGGGTGCTCCAGGATTGGCCAGCACAGTCACCAGACATGAGCATGACAAGACGATTCAGCATATCTGGGGTAAGACGAAGGAGGAGGCTTTGAAGATGAATCCAAATAATCTTGATGAACTCTGGGAGTCCGGCAAGAATGCTTTCTTTGCCAATCCAGATGACTTTATTAATAAGTTATTGCAGAGTTGTATGGATGCAGTTTTCCAAGCTCATTGGAGTCATACACAATATTCCATACTGTACATTATTTAAGTGATAAAACTTTTGTCTAAGCAAAGTCAGACCTTACTTGATTAATTAAATAATTAAAAATGAAGGCATGATCATATTTTATTTTGGTAAAATAAGAGTAATCTTGAGGCCTTTGCCTTTCATATAAGGCACTTCTGATACCAAACGATCAACTACATGTCAAGTCATTATTTGTTGTTCCTACTTAGATAGGCGACAAGACTTTTATCAGGTGGTGTATATAACAATACAAATCCAAGTGCCGTTTTTCACTCAACAGACAATTGAAACTAACTAAATATTTTCCTGCTTGACTAATAAAATTGCTTACTTCATAAATAGATCCCCTGAAGACCTCATTTAAACAAATTGCTACCATAAGCGACAATAGCAGGAGGGAAATGCCATTGCTGTCCTCCTAATCAAGAATGGAATATGAATAAAAGCTAAATTTGTTACCTCGTTAAGCTTGCTGCAAATCATTGTATCATTGTGTGTAAACTGAAACCATTTTCTGTGAAACTCTTCAATGTAGATGTTCCTCGCAGTGGGAGGAGACTCGCCAGAGACCCACAGAGTTCTACTCCCTTTGTAACCAAGACAGGCCTCACTTTGCTGAAGGAGTGCTGTGGATTCACCTGCTCTATAATGTAAAAGACACATTTTCAGCAGGAACACAACGCAATTCTAGAGCCTTGGATAAAGATGACCTTTTAATGACACCAGGAGACTCAAAGAGCATGGTGTGATCCAACACTGGAGGTTTCTGAAAGACAAAGCTACTGTATCCATTTGTATGCTAAAGAATAGCAGGCTTTTTCATTGCGTCTCTCTTCTTTCAGTTTCTTTTTCTTGCTTTAAACATCATATTTCTTTTTATTCCTCTTTCAAAGATCCTGTTTCATTCTATTACAGAGAACATTTTGTGCTCTCTCCAGAGTTCTGCTGTCAGCTGCTCAGCTGGTTTGCTGTCATTCCTTGCACTTATCTTTTTCCTCATGAGACATTGCTATAGCGCTGCAGTACCTGTGAGTTTATAATTTGTAAATGTTTACATTTCAGTAGAGATTCCATACCGACTGCAGTTTCTCAGTCAGCCCAGGTTTATTTACATATGTGTCTGTGAAAAGATATTGCTTTATGCCTGTTTCATGACAAATAAAGCACTAAAATCGTGCTCAATTTTATGAGAATGTTTAGTATGAGTATTTATTTTGCAGTTTTATCGCAAGAAAAATATGTAAAATGAATGCTTTTTTCTCTTTTTATAATAGCACAATGCCACCTATTGTACTCTAATTCATAACCCAAAATTATACTGATAGCAAGCACAAACATGACAAAAAATAATTTTCATTTGCAGATTACCAAAGTCAAGTTTAGTCTTTAAAGGTGACATCGGATACAATTTTCACATTTGTAGATTATGTGTTTCGTTGTTTTTAGTAATAGTGTAGTAACTGTCTGATCATATATACAGTTGAAGTCAGAATTATTAGCCCCCCTGTTTATTTTTTCCCCAATATCTGTTTAACAAAGAGAACATTTCTTCAAAAGATTTCTAAACATAATAGTTTTAATAACTCATTTTTAATAATAATGACAGTAAGTAATATTTGACTAGATATTTTTCAAGACGCTTCTTTACAGCTTAACGTGACATTTAAAGGCTTAATTAGGTTAACTAGGCAGGTTAGGGTAATTAGGCATGTTATTATATAATGATGGCTTGTTCTGTAGACTATCGATATATATATATATATATATATATATATATATATATATATATATATATATATATATATATATATATATATAACTTAAAGAGACTAATAATTTTGGCCTTAAAATGGTGTTTAAAAATGTTTTAACTGCTTTTATTTTAGCCGAAATAAAAACAAATAAGACTTTCACCAGAAGGAAAAATATTATCAAACATACTGTGAAAATGTCTTTGTTTTTTTTAAACATTATTTGTAATATATTAAAAAAAGAAAATACAATTCAAAGGGGGGCTTATAATTCTGACTTTATATAGGCCATAGATGACCTACAAACTACAAACTTTGCTTTCCCCTCATATCTCTTTTTGTTAACAGATAGCAAAGTGCCTAATGATGGTGTTTCGTTTCTCTGCGTTTGAATAATGAAGCATTATTGGCATCCAGTCTGATCTGTGTGTTCAGATATTGAGTCTCACAGAAATCCTCACACAGAATCCCAGATTCAGAGGGAAGGGAAGGGAATGTCCCAGACAGAATGGGCAATAACTTGCCTGTGCGCAAAGCTTTTTCCACCAGTCTGCTTTACTACTTCAGGCAATGCAAAGCATGACTAACATCAAAATTGCATTTAAAGGATGTTACTATTCCCCAATAGATCCCCAATAGTATCTGGATGCAGCTTTTATGATGCAAGCTGAGACTGCATCATTCAACAATGCAATGTCAGACACAATGCACTCAAATGGAGAGAGTGACGTCACTGTAAGGGGTAGGGTTAAGGGGTTGGGGTTAGGTGAGCCCATTAAAAAGTTCAGATTGCACTGCACCATGTCTGCATCCAGACCCCTCTCTACATCCTTGCACAATTACTCTGCACAATTAGTCTGAAAGATGTAGCTATTATTATACAGCTATAATTATCATTTGTGTTGGTTAACAAAAGTTCAAGGCTTAGTTGAGCGCTGTGCGTCTGCTGTGCAGGTTCAACTTCAGCTGCTCCAGGATGAGACTGGACCAAAATCATTCTTGATCCAGCAGCCTATGACCATGTCCACACATATAATGGCATTGTTTAAACCATTTTCTCCACCTTAGTGTTTAGAAAAATCTCTGTCCACATGAAAACACAAAAAGGCACTGTGATGTGAACCATGTGTCAGCAATAAATTTTTTTTATGCTGGGTTCACACCAAATGTGGAAATAACTATTTGCACAAGCACATTAAACTCAAGTCAACACAAATGTCACTAAAAAGGTGGAGTACCATTTTCTGTGTTTGGAGTGATTTTATAACCATGTTGGCCAATAAATGAACATAAGAATTATCACATTGATACATATCTTTCCTGTCCTCTCATCTGTTGTTAAAATGTGCTAAAATATCCTTGGGTATTAAACAATGATGGCAAAAAACTACTTAAGTAAAGCACAATGCATAATTAATTTATTTTAATTTAACTTACGGTTCTCTTGGTTTATTTATTTATTATTATTATTATTTTTGCTAATCTTGCATAGCCAGACTTTCAGACTGTCTGGGAAGCATGACCAATTTGAATGGACTTAATCAGGAAGTGATGATTTTGTTCACTTTGTCTCGTTGGATGGAAACGCTGCTTGATTCGCACATCTTTTATACGATAATCCAGTTTTTCACATAAATTTAATTCGCATTTCTGGATGGAAACATAGCTAATGGCTCTACAGTATTTAACAAATGCTGCATGATAAATTGCCGCATATCTGGAAGCACGTGCTAGAGTTAAAGTATAACCAGCTTTGCGGTCAACATACACATGAAAACAGCCTTCGATTGCTTGTCCAGTCCTCCAGTGAGTATACACAATTAAAATAGCAGTGAATTTTACCTATACAAAAATGTAGGTAGAGGCATGAATTTCTAGTGAGGCTTGTTGTTATTAGCCCACATACAGTGACTCGATGGCTAATGAGATGTTTGCGCCACTAGTTGAGCAATTAAGCTAAATGAGTTCTTTTATTGTGTTACTTTTATTACGTTAACAATCTCCATAATTGACAATGTAAGAGTTTTCTCAGCAGAATAGTTCACAGGAGTGCTGGTGCATGCACATAAATGAATTAAATGATGAACATTTCATTTGGGTGAGCATCATTGATAGAGTCACCCACGAGGAGCCTGTCCAATCCACAGCTTGAAGTCCAGCATGTCTCGCAGAGCCAAAGCACATTGTTTATGTTCTCTGGTGAAGTGCTTTCAACAACGTCAAGGGCTCTTCTCTGTGGAAACAAGGCTCCATAGCAACCAGTGCACAGAACAATTCATTAGTAGTCATTTTAGTGGCTATTTAGTAGCTAAAACACCTACAGAGTGTATCTGCAAATGGAAATGAAACGGATCAACAAGCCATCGTGACCATAGATGAATCTCTAATGGCCCGTTTCCACTGTCACAAGGGACCAAAAAGCGTACCATACCACTTTTTGAAAGGGTACCTAGCACAACAAAACAGTACCGAAGGGCAAAGCAAGATGAGCAGCTGAACGCTATTGGTTTACAGAGACATGTCACTAGCTCGTGCACAAGCCTGGAGAATGAAAACAAAGGACACGCCATTTTTAAATACACAGCAGAGACATCACACCATAATATATACATTTAATAACATGCCATGGTCGACCCAAGCTTAAACAAACCTTGTCGCTGTCTTGATGAACAGCCACAAATAACAAACTTCTTGAGCTGATGATAATAATGTGTACGTGATTATTGAAGTGCTTCTGACATCCGATCCTTTCAGAAACAGACAAACCCGTGAGTGAAGAGCCATAAAACAAAGGAGAAGCCAGAAAAAAACAAAGGAGCAAGTGATCCTTTCACTCGGAATGACAGAATTACTTTTTAACAAGAGGTTATACATGCTGGTGATGATGCAGATGAGAGGTTTGCACTGACTGTGGGCTAGATGTTGTGTCTTGTTTTTGAACCCAAAAAAGGTCTAAATGTATGTTGTGTGTAGTTTTTGTAATTGGTAACATATCAGAGACTGTAAGGGTCTGTATGTGTCTATATATGTTGCATTTATTTATTTATTTCATATAAGTTCAGACGTTACAGTGGGCTATTTAACATCATCAAAGGCCGGAAAGAGCAAAACAACATTACAAAGTGTGAAACACTTTTACGAATCATTTCGAAAACATTTTTACCTAGTATAGGACACAATTATATAGGAAAAGCAATTTTACCAAGAACGAAACAAATTTTTAATTTTAGAAAAAAAAAATTAACAAGATGCAAAACACTTTTACCAATCCCAAAAGAAATTTACAATGACAGAATCTTTATGAAAGGGAATGTACCACACACCGGAAGTGAAGCAGAATGTACCACACACCGGAAAATATCCGCTTGTGTGTGATTTTGTAGACACAGGTTAACATGAGTCCATGGGATACAAGTTAACACGAGTCCAAAGACACATGTTAACATGAGTCTACAACTATAAAAATCATGGTTTGACCAACTTCGATAAACATTGTTTTGTCATTTAGAGCTATTCTGAGAAAATATTGGCGTGATAGTTTGTAGAAGCATGTAAATGTGAGTATATGGAAACAAGTTAACATGAGTGCACAACATATAGTCGAAACCAGAAGTTTACGTACACTCTAAAAAAGTCTAAAATGTCTAATGTCTTAAAATTTTTAAAATGTCTGATGGTAAATCATACTAAACGTTTACTATTTTAGGATTACCTAAATGATTTCCATTTGCTAATTGCCAGAATAATTTGAAAAGTTTTTGGAGAATATTTCATTAATTTCTAGACAGTCAAAAGTTTATATATATTTCCTTGATTTTTTTTTTATTTATTTATTTTTTTTAGCTTTGCTTTTAAACTGTATAACTTGGGTCAAATGTTTTGGTTATCCTTCCACAAGCTTCTCATAATAGTTTGAAGGAATTTTGGCCCATTCCTCCTAATAGAATTGGTGTAACTGAGCCAGATTTGTATAGGCTGTCTTGCTTTCACAAGCTTTTTCAACTCTGCCCACAAATTTTCTGTAGGATTGAGATCAGGTCTTTGTGATGGCCACTCCAAAACATTCACTCTGTTGTCCTTAAGCACAGTTTGGCAGTATCCTTAGAGTCATGGTCTGTTTGGAAGACCCATTTGTGGCCTAGTTTTAATTTCCTGGCTGACTTCTTGAGATGTTGCTTCAGTATTTGTACATAATGTTCTTTCTTCATGATGCCATCTATGCTGTGAAGTGGACCAGTCCCTCCTGCAACAAAACAGCCCCACAACATGATGCTGCCAACCCCATACTTCACAGTTAGAATGGTGTTCCTAGGCTTGTAAGCTTTCCCCTTTGTCCTACAAATGTAACAGTGGTCATTATGGCCAAACAGTTCAATCTTAGTTTAATCTTAGTCCATCAGACCACAGGACATGTCTCCTGGTAAGTTGCCACTGTG